GTAGGGAAAACACATGTCTGATTAATACCTATGTATTAATTGGCCGTGTACTGATGTTAATTTAACAAGAATACCCAATACAATTTAATTCACGTTCGCTTGCGTTTTACCTTTCCTTATCTTGGAGAATGAGAGAAATTAGTTCTTAAACTAAGATGTTCTGTAAACCGTTATTAGCCATAACGAACATCACAATGTAAGTGGCACAGCGGACTCCAGACCCTTGAGTTAATGGCTCTGAACAAAGCCCCCGTCTTTGAAATCCAGTTGAAGATAAATGATTTAAACACATTCTTCTAAGCACATTGCTTTGAGAGGAAAGTCCTGGGATAGCCTGAGGATTGAGACACAATCGATTATTTCTGCAGGGAACTCTCGCACACCCAGCAAAAAGTGTCCTGTGAGTGTAAGTGCTTTGCAAAGCAAGAATAAAGAACCACATTCAATATTATCAAACAACTTTGAGGCTTTGCTCATCTTCCAACTGCTTTGCTGCTTGGGAAGCCTGAAACCGTTTGATCTGAACAGTCTGGGGAACCATTTCACGGCCCAGCAAAGACCACTTGCTTCATAGAGAGTCAAGTTGAAATGGGAGTAAATGAATAAATGCCATGGAAAAAGCCAACAAAAACCAAACACAAATACAAAAGACAAACCAAGTAGCGAGAGACCTTTCTGTCTCTGGGCCATAGGAATGGGACCAGACTGTCTCTACTAGGCATTGCTAGATCTTAAAATAGAGTGACAGGAGCCAAGCATGTCTCGGTACAGGGTCGCAACACACGAACTAGGGGTCAGCGCATGAAACAAGCAGGCAGGAAGTTTCAGACTAACACGAGAGAATCCATGGAATTCAAGCGTGGGACTCTGCCACCAGCCGCGGGGGAAGCTGACAGCGCAGACAAATGCACCAAGAGAGCGGACACGTTCTTGGAGGAATGGGGCACCAGTAGCTATGGAGCACGGGAATAAGAGGCATGGCCTCTGCATCGCAACTTCCTCAACCTTAAATGGGCTGCAAATGGGAGAGGAACAGGGGGGGAAAACCCTGCTCGGACCCTGGTCATTCCCCCTTCCAGCCTCCGCTCTCTGGACTGGGGGGCATGGGAGACTGGGCCAGAGGGGCCTAGGGTCTGACTCAGGACATCAGTGATGTACCGACTGATAGAATCTGTCAGGATGGGCAACACCCTCCAAGACCTGGAAGAATGTAACCCCCCCAACCGAGCAATGCAGCTCCCTGCGCTGTCTTTAGCATTCCCAAAACACCCGAGACCTTTCTTTTTACGGGCATGGGTTCAGGACGGCAATTACCTCTCCTCCTCCCAACACCTGTTCTTCCTTTTCTATCCACTGCAAACACACACTGACATCCACGTGAGAGCCAGAAGCCTGAGCCACATTTAGATGTGTTACTGCTCAAGAATGCCGGGGACATACTTGGGCACACAATCATTGGCACACCCGGGTATTCAGCTCAGCAGGACACGACCAAACCTATTTTCAGATACACAAAGTGTCTCTTGGTTTATAGGAGACAAAACCTGACGCTGATTTTAACCATACTAACTCAGGAGAACGTTTTGAATGCGTGTCAGGTCAACAAGCCTTCAGCACGGCGTCACTACTGGCTCTAGAGGAGAAGTCCGTTAAGAGCAAAACTCAACTTGTATTCACTCCTCTGTCTTTGTCCATTGCCTTTTCAGTCCGAAAGATCTCCCTGTACCGAACTGCACTGATTCATTTGGATAGTCTGGATATAAACCTGGACGCTGATTTAGATAGCTGGGATAGTGCAGTTAGTGGGTTAAGCAGGCCCTGTTCCAGCTGTGACTTCGTAAAGAATGCTCCAGGATAATAAAACCAAATAAATGACCACAACTACTACTAAATAACAATACGAAACACTAAATACTACTACCGATCATTTGTTCAGGTGATGGCCGTATGCCACAGTGCCTTGCAGGAAGCAACAGCATTTGAAGAAGAAATTACTTCAGTCAACACCATCACACAGGTTGAAATACATGGCCTTTTTATTACGGAGAATCCATTAGGTTATTTAAAAAAAATAAAATAAAAAAAGCCTTTATTTGGGGGAAAACACGGAAGTTAAAAAGCAAGCTATATAAAAAAGAATAATACCTACAAGCATAAAAGTAACGCTGCATCTAGGGATTATTGCTGTAAAGAAAAGGAGGTGAAGTTTCTTTAATCACGCCGCACAACCACAGTCAGCCGTCGACACACGCTCCTCACTTAAGAGTTAACCTAGAACTACTTACTTTTCCATCCCTGCCATCTAAGCCAATTCATTCAAACCTTTATAAACATAATATCGAAGGCTGGATCTTTGCCTGGTTGCGTATGCGTCAGGCCATCAACCTGTGAGCTAAACCGATGTGGGGTTGTTTTTTGTTGTTCTTTTTAATGGGTCACCTAGTGAATACTCGTTAAACCTTAAAAAAATTAGAATAAAGGATTAAACCAATTTTAGGTCACTTGAACTGATCAGGGGAGAGAGGCCCTACAGGGACAAAGGAAAATGGAGACATATCTCAACCTCCAGCAGATAAAACCACCGGGTTTTTAAAGCGAGCCCATTTCAGTTCATTAAGGGCCCCTGAGCTAGGGCTCTGGGCTGTTCAGCTCACTGGTGTCTGCTAATTCTTTTAGCCTGGAGAATAGTTTTGATACAAAAGGTTATAAATAAGGTTTGGTACGATTCTGTGAAATGACACCTCCCGCCCGCCTCTATGGCTATTTCAAGAGTAGGACTTGATACAACCCGGCTCCCTGCTGCACAACAGCTTCCACACAGACGCACTGAACATATCGAAACAGTGAATAGTTATAGGAGACGTATCAAATTCTAATTTAGGGCCATCACAGCAAGAAAACAAGCCCTCCATTCCCCTCAGTGAGAGAGAACGGCTAGACTGGCAGCCAGTTGAGGGCATTAGCTCCATCTGTGGTTATTCCCCCGTCCCAAGCAGAAGAGCTGCGGTATGAAAACACCCGCTGAAAAAAATATAATAAAAAAAAAAAAATGCAATTTAGAGCTACCAATTTGGCATCTCGAGGCCTGATTATCCAAAGCCTCAGCTCCCAATTAGGTTAGCACGTACTTTTCATTAATCACCCGGTTGCTTAAAACTTTTCCCCATGGAAACAGATTCATGGCCAGGGTCAACAGCCTCATGTGTCTGCTCCCAACAGATCCCTACCACTGGTTCTTGACCCAGCCCCAGCAGAAGATGCTACCCAGTTCAATGGAGGATGAAAACCGCTGCCAGGTGCACCAGGAACATTCAGCGATTCCACAAGACAAACACATCCACGCTCGTTACCTGATCTCAGTCACAATTTGGACACCCACGGATTGATACAACCCCCCGTCCCCCACCCCGCTCTCTCCCCCAGCAAGGCTGGGGTGTTAAAAGGACGTTGGCAAACTCTGGAGAGGCCTCACTAATGAAAGGTGCCATGCTTAAGGGGATAAAATTTTGTCAAATTTGAGGGCAAATGCTCCAATTTCATCATTTAACGTGCCCCCCCAATGATTTACATATACGCCGGCTGTGTCGGAAACTCAATCACGCAGCCAGTGAGGGGGAAGCGAGCAACAACACGGG